ACGTGCAGGGCGCATCCACCTCGCCAGTGTGGATGTTATAAAACTTCACATTTAAAGTCCGTGTTTGTCGCATGCGGGGGTGCGTGGGGCGGGGTGTCTGCCGCAGATAACAGAGCAGGCAGGAGGGGGAGAGGATGAGGAGAAGAGCGGTGGACTTATTTCTAATTTTATCTGACCTTTAATTTCATTTTTATTGTTTTTAACATCCTGCAGGCTCTGGGAGAAAATTAATTTGAAGCTGAGATTTGTTTTTTTATAAAAATCGTTAGATTACTCTAAAGCAAAATGAGGGAAAATCTGTGTCAATTACAGACATTCTTGTTCACGTGAGCAGCTGTCAGTCAGCACCTGTCATCCTCCAGACGCACGACGGAGCGTGTCTGAACCAATCACTTTTGTTGACATTGATCAGCTGACTGATTTAAATACACCTTAACATTCATGAGGTACTTTACATTGACTGTTTATGGTTGAATGGGCGTGTAGAGGGTAGAACCTGAGGCGGGACCTCGTGCGCAAACTCTGTGATCCATAAAGGAAAGATGCGTACGCACAGTTTTATAAATTTAAAATTTTTTTTGGCGTACACCATTTCCGCCTTTTGGCCGTATGTTCACTTTTAGTATGGTTTCCACGCAATCCTTTATAAATGAGACCCCAGGTGCTCACCTCCCAGCAACATTTCCTGCAGCAGGTTGTCGATCTTTGCCATGCCGAAGAGTTTGACAAACTGGATCTGCTCGATCATCTGCCAGGTGATGCTCTGTAGCGTGGGCAGCAGCAGGAGCAGCTCTCCGAAGCGACCGCGGGAGTCATACTGCCTGTCGTTGATGTAGTCCTCCAGACTGACCTGGACCTGATACCTCATTCGCTTGATCTTCCCAGGGTCACTCAGACCTTTAGCATCTGTGGACAAACACAAACAGTCAGGTGTGTTAATGAGAAGCACCTGGGTGCAGCAGGACAGCATTTATACAAGCCCAGTTTCTGAAGTCAGAGTCCAGCGGTGTCATCAGAACTGGTACCTGGGTCAAAGAAAACGATGGCCTTCAAGCAGGCATATTCATTGTCATCTATCTGAAGGTCCTGGAAGGGAAGCACCAGCTCATCCAGGATCCTCACTGCTACCCTGCCCACCTCCAGCTCCGGACAGTTTCTGGGAATGATGTGGTCATTTCCTGCAGAGGAAACTCGTCTTAGTTCAAACTGAAACCAGATTATGTTCCAGAATGAGACAGAGCTGTGTCTGAAATATTTCCACTCGGCTGTGTGGAGGTGTTACCTAACAGGAGGATGTCTTTGTAGAGCATGGACCTCTTGGCTGCACCAAGCAGGAGGTGTTCTCCTGCGTGAGCTCGAAGCAGAGCCACCTGCAAGACAGATTCATAGAAAGTTAGCTGCAACCCTTTATTTAAAGTCTTCATGTGAAACCCAACATCAGGGTTAGAGCTGCTCAACAAATAAATATCAATACTGCAAAAGCTGAAAAAGAAATGGTGCGAAAAAAATTATAATTTCACCATCAGGTGGATTTTTCCTCTAAAGGGTGGAGAAGAATGAAACATGTGCACTGCAAAAAATGTCCACCTAAACAAGTTTTAAAATCTTATATCCAGCCAAAAAGTCTTTTTGATCTTGTTTTGAGACTGATTTACTAAACAAGAACTGACTGTGTAAGAATAATAATCTTGTTTTCAGAATGTGTAAGAT